CCACTTTCAAATTTTACCTGTCTTCTGGACAAGAATCTGACACCAGAATCATGATTACTTCTTTCATTTAAACCACTGCTTCCCATAAAGACAACTAGAAGTCCTTTTAACGATTCCCTTCAGAGAACTCTCTGAAGGGTGTTTCGTTAGTCCCCTCTCGCACACAGGGTTAATACAGTAATCTCTAACGGGTGAAAGGGTCCTTTAAATATGGCTTACTCTTGCAGTACAGGATGACTGTACATCTCAGTTTCAAGTGAAATAATTTACCTTAATTTATTCGTCTTTTTCTCGTTGCCATGTTCCCACCAATCACGTAGCTCCTTTTTCTGCCTTTAATTAAAAGCACACACACCCACAATTCCCCTATTCGCTCCGACGATGGGCTAACGCTCGAAACGTCAGCTTTTATATAATCGTAACGGTGGCCAATTTACCATTTCAACTTTGTTGATATATTGAAATTATATAATTTACCTTAACCCTGACTAAAAATCTCCGCTGATTCAGTTTGTCTAACCATCAGCTCAGACCCTATAGGCTCAGACCCTATAGGCTCAAAGCCTATTTTTTCACGTCTGTTCCTCTTGGTAGATAGTTTTGTTAGTTTCCAATGAAGGTGCGAAAAAAAACAACTGAATGGTAAATTTTGAACCTTCAATGTCTTCCAAGGCAACAATTTTCCTCTAAGAAGGTTTTGATAGCTTGGGAAATGATATTGATACTCAGGGTAGCAGCTTTTCATCGCCAAAATCAAATCTACGAAGACTTCATAATCGCAGTACATCACGAGTAAGTTTTAGGCGGCTTAAGGTAAAGTAAAAATGGTCAGCACTTTACTGCAAAGGGTAAAAAAGAACCCAAACACATGTACATTTGCCAGTTGGATTAAAACCGAGCCTTTCATCAAATCATCAGGTAATTAACATACATTTTCCTGGTTTTTACAGAAGAAGGCGCACGATGTCCTCATGCTCTCTTAAATTAAAGCCTCAGACTACTTGGAAACTGACAACAGTCGAAGAAAGATAGAATAGCTTTTTTTCTCCCAGACTTCCAGCGCTCCCCTCGACATATTCTAGGTACAGATCCATTGCTACAGTGTATGTTCCAACTTTAGTAGTGTCGTATTCAGAAGAACGATCGAATTTTGACAAGACAGTTTCTCCGGCAGCAATGGGTAAGAAAGCGCTCGCTCCCGGATCTTCTCGCCTTATCATAATACCGTCTGAACTTAGCTCTTTCCCGTCTCGGCTGATAGTCAGGCCGTCTACAGCTAAGTTGTTCAGCGGCGTGTTCCATTTTAGGACGGTCACCGTTGTTTGTCAGGCTGAAGTCGCATACAACATATGTCTGTTGTTTGGTAAAAAGTTTTATTACACGACTCGGGCAGTCAGAGGGCCAATAACTAAAATCAACCAATCAAAATGCTCTATTGCCGGTCCAATATTCTCTAAGTATTGGACCGGGCACTGTCCCGAATGGTCCCGAATGATACCGCACTTGTGTCCCTTTGAACTTCAGTCGTATAATAAATCTCTTATTAACCAAGCTTGCTCGGGACCGTACTGGAAGAATATCGGCCCTCGGTCTTTTTTGTACGGACCTCGCTGCGCTCGGTCCGTACTGTCAAGACCTCGGGCCGATATTCTCCCAGTACGGCCCTCGCGCTTGGTTAATAAGATATATTTATTCT